GAAGAAAGTAGTTTATAGGACTAATCGTCTACGTGAGTCACGGTCTCATCTATACAAGATCAGAACTAGATGGGACCAACTGCCACTACTGACCATTCTGATCAGGTTTCAAGAAGATAGATCCTGAGATAATAGAAAAAGAATGTGGAATGTTTCTCAGAATCTTAAAAAGACCAAACTTGGGATCTCAGGACCATAGTCTGAGGCAACACCATGATCAACTGGTATAACATAGTCCACAAAGACGACTTCCTACAGTCTACTTTGGTGAGTAGCATCTTGGATCTTTAAAGCTCATTAGTGGCCATCAAAGGTAAAACTACTGGTCTCTCCATGTGTGGAAGAAAGAAGAGTGATGAAAACTGAAGCTATTTGAAATCAATTAGTCCAAAAGGAACACATGAACATCAGTCTCCATGACTCTGAAACCAGAAGAATTAGATGGTGCCTAGCTACCACTACCAAATGCTCTGAGAGGGATCACATGAGAAGGTCCCAGATAGAATGGGAGACAATGTGGAACAAAACTCAAAATTATATAGGCTTATTGGTCAGAAAGGGACAGGAGAAATTGGAGACTTTGGTCCCAGGGTACACACTTCAGGTCTGGAGCGGAACTCACCCTCCTGGTCCAATTTTCAGTAGACAGGTATAAATGGGGAACAACAACACTAGTGAGGCATGTTCACCATATAATGTCAACCATCCAAAATCAAAAGGGCAACATTTGTGTGGGGACAAGGTTCAGAAAGATTAGGAAGAAGTGAGGAATATTAATAGGAACCTGAGGAAGGAAGTGGGATAACTGTTGTTGCATGGAAGGGATTTCAATTACTGAGATGAAACACAGTGTGTGATTTGTTGGATGCAAAACTGATCACCTTCTTTGTAAATCTTCACTCAGTTAACAATAAAAAATTTTCTAAAACGGCCAGACTTGCTCGATTGGTTGAGACTAGCAGACTCTCCAAGATTGTCCCCCAGATATAACCTTTATACCTTATATCAAAATTATTATAAACAGCCACAACAAAACACTGCCATTAAGTCAACTCCAACTCCAATGGACCCTGCACAGGGCTTCCAAGACTGTAAATCTTTACGGGACTAGACAACGTCTTTCTCCAGAGAATCATCTGGTGGGTTCAAACTGCTGAGCTTTCAGTAAGCAGTCCAATGCCTAGACCACAGCACCACCAGGGGTCCTTTAACCCCTGGGGTCATCTGTCAGTTAAGTAACAGACTGGGTCATAAAATGATAACTATCACCATGAGTAACAAGTTTCTTTAAAAATCATCTGTAAGAGACCAAATGTTCAAAAGTTATTCTAAAGCAAAGATGAGACAGGAAGGAGAAGGCAGGAAAGCCAGTCCTGGAAATGGTATAACAAGAACGAAATGGACGAGAACAATGACACATTGTGAAACCCTAGCCAATATCACAGAATGATCTGCACGTTGTTATCATTGTGTGCCGTGGAGTCGGTTCCAATTCATACAGACCCTGGATAAGGTTTCCAAGGAGCGGCTGGTGGATTTTAACTGCTAACCTTGTGACTGGCAGTCCAGTGCTTATCCTACAGTGCCACACCAGGACTCTGAGTAATTTGTATGTTGTTGTTGTTATGTGCCATCGATGCAGTTCTAACCCATAGCGACCCAGTATGAGGTTTCCAAGGAGCAGCAGGTGAGCTTGAACCACTAACCTTGCAGTTCAAACTGACTTTGCAGTCCTATACATTAAGCCACAATGGCAAACCAGGACTCCTGAATACTGTGTATAGAACTTGTTAAATAGGAGCCTGGTTTGCTGTGTCAATTGTCTCCTGAAATACAAAAAAAATTCAGAAAATTTAAAAAATCAACAGTGAAAATTTGCATGTGGTACTACTGTAGGTCTCACATGCTGTAACTCTTCAATGATACAGCCAAGCCTTCAGTACTTCTCAGAGAGACAGTGACGTGGACCTAGAGACAAAGAGATCCATGAACAAAGACAAGACACCCATCGACAATGTGCCATGTTTTGTGTCATACTTGAACACTTTTCCAGAAATAAATGGCATGCCAAGTCGATGCCAGCGGCATGAGTGAAGCATAACAAAAGTCATACCTAAGTGAAAATTATTTAAGTGTTTTTAAAGTTCAGAGATAGTTATTGTAATGTACTAATCTTAGAATATAAAACTATTGATGGAAACATCATTAAAATGCATTTAAATGGACACATTTATCTACTCCTGAGTCTTTGTTGTTTTTGTTAGGTGCCATTGAGTCAGTACCAACTCATAGTGACCCTATGCACAACAGAACAACACACTTCCTGGTCCTAGGCCAACCTCACAATTGTTGCCACACTTGACCCCATTGATGCTGCCACTTTGCCAATCCATCTCGTTGGGGTCTCCCTCTTTTACTCTGACCCTCCACTTTACCAAACATGGTATCCTTCTCCAGTAACTTGTCCCTCCTGACAATATGTCTGAAGTATGAGAGATGAAGTTTGGTCATCTTGGCCTCCAAGGAGCACTCTGGCTGCACTTCTTCCAAAACAAATCTATTGGTTCTTTTGGCAGCCCATGGCACTTTCAACATTCTCCTCCAACACCATAACTCAAAAGCATCAATTCCTCTACGGTCTTCTTTATTCAATGTGCAGATTTTGCATGCTTTTGAGGTTATTGAAAATACCATGGCTTGGGTCAGGAGCACCTTAGTCCTCAAGCTGACATGTTTGCTCTTCAACACTTTAAAAAGGTCCTGTGCAACAGATTTGCCTAATGCAAATGATCTCTTGACTGCTGCTTCCGTGAGTGTTGATAGTTGATCCAAGAAGAATGAAGTCCTTGACAACTTCAACCTTTTCTCCATTGATAAGAATGTTGTTTATTGGTCCAGTGGTGAGGATTTTTGTTTTCTTTACACTGAGCTGCAATCCATACCAAAAGCTGTGCTCTTTGATCTTCCTGAGTCTTTAGCTGTGACTTTATTTGAGCAGTAGTGACAGATGCTGTGTAACAGCAGGGTGTCTTGAACATGAGCGGCTCAACAGAGGCTGTTACTGTTCTGTACCATCTAGCTGAACTGTCCCATAAAATGTCGGCACTTAATGACAAACAACAAAACTTTCCGGAAGCAAATTGCCACAACTTTCTCCAATGGAGCGGCTGGTGACTTAGAACAATCAACCTTTAGGTTAGTAGGTTAGCCACTGCATTATACTGACTATGTATAGGGTCTCTGAGGAGTGGCTCATGGGTTTGAATTGCCAACCTGTAATCAGAGTCCAGTGTTTATTCTACAGCCCCACACCAGGACTCCCAACACAAAAGGGACTACTTCCTAAGCAGTCCTGGTGTGGTGCTGTAGGATAAGCACTGGGTCATAAGTTAAGTTTGAACCACAAGGTCAGCAGTTCAAACTCAGCAGCCGCTCCTTGGAAACTCTATTACAGGGTCACCTGAGTTGGAACGGACTCAACAGCAACAACAACTTCCTAAGTCAGAAGAACACTCTGTCGTCCCTTTCTTGTCTTCCAGAGACAAACATTGAAATGAAAAACCTTCCTGAGACTTGGAAGAATGTGTGGAATATTAAGATGCATTTGTCCTGTCAAACATTTTGATTCAGTGGGCAGATGAACAATTTTGAGGGAAGCGGCCATTGGAAGTAAATTATAAGGAATATTGTCACTCATTATATCAACTAAACACTAGTGAACTGATGTTTGACTCTTAATGATAAAAATAGTCTAGATAGTTTCAAAAAATGGGATCATATAGTATTTGTCCTTTTGTGATTTGAAGGTTTACCCATGTTCTGGCATGTATCAGAATTTCAGTTCTCTGTATGCTAAATACTAGTCTGTTGCATGCATGCACAATATTTGATGTGCCCATTCAGCTGTTAGTGACCACTGGGGTTGTGTCTACCTTTTGGCTATGATAAATAATGTCATGAAAGAATAAAAAGTTATAGTGGCCTCAATTCCTTACCTACAATAATCCCATAGGAAAAAAACAGGAAGTAGATATTAGGGGCAAAACTGCTCAACATCAGGCCTCCAGCCACCAGGAAGCCACTGAAGATGGTGACAGGTCTTGCTCCAAAAGATGAGACACAGATGCTGCACACAGGACCTAAAAATACAAAGAAAGCCTTCATTTATTAAACAGCAACCTCCTTCCCACCTTACTAGGATCCAACACTTTGTGCCTTTAAAATTAAATCCAACCCTTTGTGCCTTTAAAATTAAATCCAACCCTTTGTGCCTTTTAAATTTCCATCATAATGTTGTTGTTGCTATGTGCTGTGGAGTCAGTTCTGACTCATAGTGACCCTGCACAGGGTTTCTGAGACTGTAAATCTTTATGGGAGCAGAAAGCCTCAGCTTTTTCCCATGGAACAGATGGTAGTTTCAAACTGCTGACCTTGCAGCTCACAGCCTGATTTGTAACCACTACGCTACCAGAGCTCCTTGATTTCCATCATAATACAACCACAGAAATAATAAAGATCCACTGAGTACATCTATGTGCTAGATACTTTTTAGATCCTTCACAATATTTAAACAAATGATTGTTTTCCTATTATTTAGATAAGGCAATGGAGGTTAAGAAATGCATTCCGGGCTCTAGAGTCAGACTTTTTTTCAAATTCGAGCTCTATCATTTCCTAGCTGTTTGAAGTCAAGCAATCTATCTAATCTCTCCATGCCTCAGTTTCCTTAACTGAAAATTACAATCATAATAGTACCCACCTCATAGTGGTCTTGTGAGGACACACAAAACCATGAATAGAAAGCTTCTCACAAGGCCTGACACAAGTGTCTACAGCTTCTTAACATGTGAACCCAACCTGCAAGCACTATGTTCTTGAATTGTTGGTCTCCTGGCATGTCCCATGCATCTTTCCTACCCAGAACTCCTTTTCTGTCCAAACTTGTCCTTTAATTTGGTGAATACTTAAATTACATCATAGCAACCCTGGATATGGGTGAGGTGGGGGTGAGGTTGTTTGTTACTCCCTGCTTATAGAATATTCTGACAAGTGGGGTCAAGCGGAGGAGGATTCTGTCCATCCAGGACTGGGTCTGCCAGTAGTACTCTAACGGCACAGATGACCACTACTATATGTTCTATGCAAAAACCTTGTGGGCAAAGAATTGATTCTGACTCATAATGACACTATGTTATTGTTGTTAAGTGTTGTGGAGTCGGTTCCAACCCATACCAACCATGAACAGGGTTTCCGAGGCTGTAAATTTTTACGGGAGCAGAAAGCCTCATCTTTCTCCTATGGAGCAGCTGGTGGTTTCGAACTGCAGACCTTGAGGTTCACAGCCCAATTTGTAACCACTACGCTACCAGAGCTCCTTATAGTGACACTATAGTACACTACTAAAGCTCTGAGCATAAGTGGGCGGTACATAGTTTTTCTATGCATAAGCGATAGTGAAATTCTTTCCCGTTTGCCATGCACCAGGAGTCCTGGTTTGGTGCTGTAGGATAAGCACTAGACTGTTAACCACAAGGCTGCTATTGCTGTTGTTGTTGTTAAGTGCCATCAAGTCTGTTCTGACTCAAAGCCACCCCGCACAGGGTTTCCAAGGAGTGTCTAGTGGTTTGAACCACTGACCTTTCAGTTCAAGGTGAACTTACAGTCAGTCCAGTGATTATCCTACAATATCATACCACGACTTCAATCTCAAGTTCGGTGGTTGAAACCCAACAGTCGCTTCTCAGAAACCCTGTACAGGGTTGTTATGAGTCAGAAACTACTTGATGGCACTTAATAATAACAATAACAGCCAAGCATTTTGGATGCATCCCAAACTACACAAACTTAGTATATGAGAAATAAAAGAATATTACGGTAATTCAGTTCAATAGTCTCATTTTACATGGAACGAAATTGACGCTCAGAGGGTTATTCGAAGCTTATGACTGGCAGCAGCCAGGTAGAAGGAAATACTCCAGGATTTAGAATCAGAAGCAGAGAGGCATGTTTTCATTGAATTGGCAACAAGCTTTCAAAGTTCAAAATATTATCTCTAATTTTTAAAAAGCACACTCATCACAAAAGCTAAACACAAGCCATACCCAGTGTTAGCAAAGATACACAACAACCAGAACTCGCATACGCTGCTAGCCCTATCTACTAAAGGTGAACATACCACCCACTTTAGCCCAACAAGCCCACTGTTGCATATTCAACCATCACAACCGCCTACATCAAAAGTCAAATACACAAATGTTCACAGAAGAACTAGTTATAACAGGCAAATAGAAATGATTAAAAATTCGTTGGTAGAATGGATAAACAGATCCTATTGTATTCACAGACCAGAGTCCTATGTGATAATGAGAAGGAAGGATCTGCAAAAGCACCATTATGACTGCATGTCACAAACGTGCTGAGCAAAACACACACAACACATAAACAAGTACATCTATTCCATTCCAATTATTAAAAGTATGCAACACACAAAACCAATCTATGGCAATATAAGTCAGGACAATGGTAACTATTGGGAAGGGGAGGGAAAATTGTAGCAGAAAGGACCCTAACTGGACTTCCAGGGTGTGATTAATGTTCTTGATGTGAATGTGCTGATTACATAGGCATGTACAGTTTAAGAAAATTTCTTATCCTCTACTCTTAATAAGGAGCTTTGGTAGTGTAGTGAGTTAGAAGCTGCTAGCCGTAATGTCAATAGTTCAAATCTACCAGCTGCTCCACAGGAGACAGAGAAAACATTCTGCACCCATAAAGATTCACAGCTTCAGAAACCCTATAAGGGGTAGTTATGAGTTGGAACTGATGTCACGGCACTTCACCACCACCACAATATTCTTAGTGATATTTACCTATATCATCTACATCAATAAAAATTTTAAAAGTCAACTGAAGTGAAGAAATGAAGCAATTGATCTATAACCTTGCTGCGACTAAGTGGCAGAGCCAGAATTTGACCCCAAGTCTAACATTCCTTTCCAACACTATAGAATCTCCTACATACACATGGTAGTCCAGGTGTGGCGCTGTAGGATAAGCACTGGACTGCAAGGTCGGTTTCAACCACAAGGTTGACAGACCAGTCACTCCTCAGAAACCCTATAAAGGGTTGCTATATTCAGATACACCAACATCTCTTCACAAATCCTATAAAGAGTTGCTATGAGTTGGAACCGACTGGATGGCATATAACAACAACAACAGTAAGAATATATGAATATTAAAACCAGGTTATTACCACTAACCTACCATAAGTTCTCAATACCTACAGTTTGCCCACAGTCCTGCCCAGCTCTGACCTAGTACCACTCTCAGGTTCTCCTGTCTAAGCCAGTACTAACATAATTATATGACACACAGCGAGAATCTTCGGCAATGTTTTGTTTTGTTTTTTGTTTTTTTTTAAGGTTTATTGTGACTTGAATGATAGTTTACATGGGAGAACATCAGTTTTACACTCTTCGTTTCACTGCAATGATTACAATCTCCTCTGCATCATCATTCAACAGCATTTGCTTCTATTCCTTTTTGTTTTGTTTTGTTTTTTGTTTTTTTGTTTTTGCTGGAGGGATGTACACAAAAACACTCAGGAATACATAATCATTTAAACAACCAAAGGGCACATTCTGCAAGCCTTCCTCCTGGCCATCAGCACCTAGCTGCCAGCACACAGCCTTTCTCCTTCCATGAGTCTAGAGACCTCAGTTGTTCTATGCCCTCATCTCTGTCTCCATCTCTGGTGTTTCTGCTTCTCTGGATAGGGTTCCACATTCCTCTCATGCTCTTCTCCCTTGATGGTGCTAGGGTCCTCTGTTCCTGGACCATAAGATGAACTATTACCCTCTTTTTTTTTTACAAAGCTTCTACCTTTATAGCTGTGACAGTTGCAGTTCATCATGTGACAATTGTTGTTGTTGTTAAGTACCTTTGATTCGATTCCAACCCATAATGACCCCGAATAGGGTTTCCAAGGAGAAGCTGGTGATCTTGAACCACCAACTTTGCAATTCAAATGGCTTTGCAGTCTGACGCATTAGCCCATAGCACCATACCAGGACTCCATGATAACAATTATTCACTATTAAAACCTAAGAACCTTATCACCATCTTTTTACACCAGACCCATCTAGACAAGATGAATACGATTCAGTGTAGATTCTACCTTCCGCAGCATGTTCTGAAACTACACTCTTTCTTGAAAACTTGTAAGCCAGTCACTTTGTGTCTTTATAGCTCCCCCCACCCCCATTTTAGGTAGCCAATGTCTAAGTTCCCTGTCCCTATCGACCCTGTATACAGAGGGAATTAGATTGATTTTGGATGTGAAGACTCCTTCCCTCTCAGTTGGTATTTTGAGCTACCACATCAATAAATAAAGGAGCTCTGGTAGCGTAGTGGTTACGAGTCGAGCTGTGAACTGCAAGGTCAGCAGTTTTAAACTACCAGCTGTTCCACAGAAGAAAGATGAGGCTTTCTGCTCCTGTAAAGATTTACAGCCTCTGAAACCCTGTACAGGGTCGCTATGAGTCGGAACTGACTCCACAGCATTCAGCCACCAGTTGAGTTCTGATCATCAAGCTATCAAAGCTAAGTAGAATGGGTACTATCTACAAGTTTGAGAGTTCTTGTGAGTCACCCCTCACTTCATATCATCTGGACACTTCACTCTCAGCTATAGTCCTAGGTGGCTATGTCCTTGTCCATGGGCTCAAGAGGCCCCAGGTATCACCACATTTCATACCAACCAGCCCTTCCTCTTCTCTCTCTCATCTTCAGGTCGACAGGAGCCTATGGAACGTGGTTGTACTCGGCCCATATCTTCATCGCTGCCTATCCCCCTCTTCCGCTGACCAGCAGACAATGTGATCACCAGCGACCTTACATTCCTGTTCTGTGTTCCCTCTGAGATTCAGTCTTGGAGGGCGGTTTGTCCTGAAGGGACTTGATTGCTTGCCTTGATGGCTCCCCAATGAGCAACTTGCTAGTTCTTGTAGTAGCCAATCAGACTGCCATTATTGTTTTGGATTTTTCCTGCTGGTCTTTCTTTCAAGAAATATTTTCTGTTCCTCTAGCTATTCCAGGATTATCTGCTTATCCTTTCAAGTGGGAATGTCCCACTGGC